CGGAAAACATATGCAGGAGAGGCGCGCGAGTATACCACAACGGTACCCAGTAAGTGCCAAGCCTAACCTCGGTCGAGTAGTGACGAGGTCAATTCAGGGCCACTAGTATATAATAATAAAAACAGGAGAATAAGTAGTATAATAAGAGACTAAAGTTCAACAAAGGAAAGCACAGTGAAATAACATAACGATGCACGGAATTAAGCGACATGGGATCTCCCGAGATACCGTCTCGTAGTCCCCAAAGTAAATATGCATGGAAAACTCCCGAGGTACCGCCTCGTAGTCTCAAAGTAAATGTGCATGAGGATCTCCCGGAATACTGCCCGTAGTCCCAAAAGTAAATATGCAGGGGATCTCCCGGGATATCGTCCCGTAGTCCCAAAAATAAATATGCAGGGGATCTCTCGGGATACCGTCCCGTAGTCCCAAAGTAAATATACAGCGCAATCAATTACAAACGACAAGTATAGCAGGAGAAATCTACAATCTAGACTAAATACAAGTCGAGAAAGAAGCAGGAATTCAATAGGCATGCTGCAAAGAGTTCAATTAAGCAAATAAGGCACGTAGACATGTTATTCTAAGCTAACAGGGTAACTACACATGTTAGTATATTCAATTAAGGTGGAAACAGGGAATTTCTCAGTAAAATTCGGGTTTTTCAACAAATAGCCAGTGTATGCACTCGTCACCTCGCGTACACGGCGCTCACATAGTAAAATCAGTACCAACTCCTAAGAGGATTTCCCCCACACAAGGTTAGGCAAGACACTAACCTCAAACAAAGCTCAATCAATCCGTAAAAATGCTCTTTCCATGAATATCCGGCTCTGAATGGCCCAAATCTAGCCAAAATCAATTATATACCATAAATACAACTATAAAAATTAATCTAATTAACGAAATCAAAGCAAAAGCAAGAAATTAGAAAATCGCCCTAAAAAGCCTCCCCGGACCCATGTCTCGGAATCGAGTAAAAGTCACCAATTATGAACACCCATTCACTCACGAGTTCACTCGTACTAAAATTATCCAAATCCGATGTCAAAATCCCAATCAAAACCTAAAAATCTTAGTTGAAGAACTTCTTCCCATTTTCCCCAATTTTCAACCAAATTCCGAAATTAAATGATGAAATTAATGATAGATTAATGGGATATAACCAAAATCAGTGTAGAATCATTACCCAATCGATATCTCTGAAAATCCCACAAAATCTCGTCCAAATCCGAGCTCCCAAACTCAAGTTTTGATAAAATGGCCAAACCCTCATTTTTGAAATGTTTAATACTGCCTAGTGATTCGTTAATCGCGATCGCGAAAATAGCCTCGCGATCGTGAAGAACAACTTTGCTGCCCCATAAATTAAATCTACGCGAATACATAAAACACCACGCGAATGCGATGCTGTGGCTCTCAGACTCACGCGATCGCGATGAGCAAAGCACGTGGCCCAACTTTGGTCCACTTAACCCTACGCGAACGCGACCTTGTCTCTGCGTTCGCGAAGCACCACCTCACTTTACTACACGTTCGCATGCCCCTGTCCGCGAATGCGAAGAACAATTCCATCCTCTCGACCAGCTAGCTTACGCGATCGCGTATAAGGAAACCAGAACTCAGACACCAGAAAATTCCAGCAACCTCCTAAGTCCAAAAATCGATCCGTTGGGCATCCGAAACTCACCCGAGGCTCCCGGGATCTCAATCAAATATACCAACCAATCCTAAAACACCATACAAACTTAATCGAGCCCTCAAACCACATCAAACAACGGTAAAATCACGAATCACCCTCTAATTCAAACTTAATGAACTTGAAACTTCAAATATCCACAACCGATGCCGAAACCTATCAAACCACGTCCGATTGATCTCAAATTATGCACACAAGTCGTATTCAACATTACGGACCTATTCCAACTTCCGAAATCAGAATTCAATCCTGATATCAAAAAGTCCACTACCGGTCAAAATCCCCAAAAATCCGACTTTCGTCATTTCAAGCCTAAATGAGCTACAGACCTCCAAAACACATTTCAAACACGCTCCTAAGTCCAAAATCACCCAACGGAGCTAACGGAACTGACGGAACTCCATTCCGGAGTCGTCTTCATACAATTTCGACTACGGTCCAAATCCTAAGGCTTAAACCTCCATTTATGGGCTATGTGTCCCAAAACACTCCAAAAATCAAAACGAAACTTCCCGGCAAGTCACAATAGCAGAAATAGATACAGGAGAAGCAGTTAACAAGGAATCAGGGCTATAACTCTCAAAACGACCGGCCGGGTCGTTACAAGCACATTATTTTATAATGCACAAATCCTAATAGAAGTATAGTTTTTTTCTCATATTTTGAAAAATCACTACCACTTGATAGTAATTAACCATCACAAGCATAATCAGATTAGATATTCACTTCAACATACTTTGTATACATCATGAATGCTTCTAAGTTCTAACTTCTACACAGTTGTGCATAATGGATATAAAAGGACGCTACTAACTTGGATAAAAAGAAACCTACTTTTGACAAGCACTTTGTATACAATGTAGCCTATGTACCCCTTATAATATGTTAACTAATAAAGAAAAGAATGATAATTATCGATGATCAATAAATTATTATTAATGATTGAATTATATCGAAGTGATTTTTAATTATGAAAGAACTTAACTTAAATTGCATCATCTATTGATCTAACAATTGCACACACAAGTATTATATAGATGTTTAAAATTTTGACATTAATATCTAAGAACTTTCTTTGACCTGTTTCGATTCTAATCCAATCAATTTAGCAGTGTAAGGTGAAGCAGTCACCTTAAAGGAAGGCCTTTACATTTTAAAATATTGTACTTTTCATGCGCTTCTAAAAGTGGACGACAAAGGAAAAATAGTTTTTCTTGAACTTAATATTGTACAATAGGATAAATTTTAACTATCTATAAAAAGAGAACAAACCTTAACCTCTTCAAAATAATATTATAAGAAGTAACATAATTGTCAAATGAAATACACATAAGAAGCACATAAATTTAAATGCCGTATTAAACTTACAGTATACTATAGTGGAAGTTGGCTTGATAAAGGAACGCTGAGGAGAGTAGCCGATGGTGAAACACCAACATCAAGTGCAGAAGAGAGAAAAACTGAAAACAGAAGATGAACGTTTGAAATGGGTAAAAGATTACTTAAAAGATAGGTTTGGTTAACAAATGATTGTGACTGTTACGAAGCAGTGTGAACCGTTGGGACTTTTAATATTTTTCGGCAGAGGAACATTGCTCTTTCCACGTATGTAGTCTTTGTCTACTTGTAGTTTTTTTTTTAATTTAAATTAAATAAGTTAATTAGAGAAATAATAAGAAGGATATTTTAGTAATTTGATTTTTAAGTTATGGATTTTCTGCTTTTAATATAATATATAGATATATATCATCAATATACCATTTATATTCTGCACTAATATAACATATATATTTGTATACATTATGTGTATATAATAAGTTTATCTGATATATTTTGTTTCTATACACATATTAATGGCATATTAAAATTTTAAATTTTTTTTTGTAAGATATTTGCTAGTAATATACTTTGAATAATACATGTTGTCAGAAAGAGAAAGAAACGAATGTCGGGAAGAGAAAAAAATTGAAAAGAAAAACTCAGTTAAAAAGATTTGGGAAAAGATTTATTGTAGATTCAATTATAATATAGAAGGCTCCACGTGAGAGAAGTTAGATATAAATTAATTGTGATTTTTGAAAAAATCGAAAAGTCAAAGTCATTACTCATTAATCATCAATAAGGTTAAAAATAGATCCCATAATTTATGTCTTCCATTCACTCATCAATGCTGTGCATAAATTTTATAATATGCTAGTATTGTAAAAAAATTTGCTATTTATGGAATAAACTAAAATTAATGTTCTTTTTTTAAATATTTTTTAGAAAGGGATTAGGCGTGTAAAAATCTCAGTAATATTCGTTTATTAGGCCCGAGTTCACTGTTAGGGCCTGATAACGCGAAGAGTTGGTTTGTTCTGGATATGTAACTGTTTTGTTATTAATAGCAGTTAGTTAATAATTATTTTCAACAAGTTAATCTTTTTTATAATTTTATTGATAGTCTGTGTTACTGAGCTTCCCTAAAATGCAAAGACAACATAGTGCTCTGAGAAAGCTTATAAGTAAGAAATAGTGGAGGAAATGTAAAGAAAATTCTAAGCATGTTAGCGAATGCTATGAGATGGTTATAAGCGGATGTTGTTGGGATTGCCTTCATTTATTCCCTTGTCAGAGTATTTAAAAGGTAATCTAATTACATAAATAAACCAAAGTATCCAAAAAAGTGAAATAAAGGTATGTATGAAACATAATTGAAGAAGAAAATTGTGATCATGAAAAAAAAGAACAAAAGAAAAAGGTTGAAAGTTTTTTTTGGAAAGGAAAACACACTCGAACAAGATTACAAGGATATAAAGTTCCAAAAAAGATTCAAAAACCTTTATTTCAAGTGGATTGTGTTAAAATTTGGCAGGTAAAAACTTATAGGGATATGCATCAAAATATAGTGAAAATAGTATATTAATGAAATTAAATCGCGACAAACTATTAACGGTCGAATATGTACACCTACAAAATCAACCAAGATTCTAGTTAACCATTAACATTAAATAAAAGTTTCTTATGAAAGTTATTTGTAACGGCGCGAACATCCTCTTTTCAAAGATGCTAGATACTAAAGTGATCATATTTCATAAAAATCATTACAAGGGTGCAATTGAAAATATGTTTATCATTTGATCCGTTCTTTAAGTATAAAAGACTACGCCCAACTATTTATCTAATAAAATATCAACGAGAATTTAGAGTAATCAATTATATTAGATGATATTATCAAATCTTGTTAAAAGTTGATTACAGTCTCACCGGAAAAGCTACTTTAAATTACATACTTGCCCTTGGGAATAAATAGAAGGACAATAAGGATGGTAGTATCAGTTATTCCAACAGTTCCTTTGGTCGAAGCCCTGTGCCACTTCCTACATCTCCGCCTGTGCCGCACTGGCGTTCAACCAAAGGTCATTTTTGAATTGTTTCTAACTTTCTTATTTTCCTTCAGTTTTCCCTTTCCCTTTTATCATTGAATCTTTTCCTCAAATTTCAATGGCTTTTCATTGCAGGTAGTTAGATTCAAAGCATTTTTCTTTTATTGTTGAATGTTTTGGTTGTGGAATGATGCCAAATACTATTTACCTTGCATATGTCTATTGAACTTATAGAAATATTGCTATTGCTGAATCATAATTTATGGGTAACTCTCATGTTCAATTTTGAATTAGTCAAAAGGGTTTGTTTCAATTTGTTTTTTGTAGATGATTACCATGGCTGATGTTTGATTGAACTGCATTCATGTGATTTCTGATGATCTTATTTGGTTAACTGCTGGAGAACTGGCTCTTTGTTTTTGATCTGGGATAGATATCTGTCTAATTGCCAGCAGATTCCTTTGGTGGGCAATCTATAAGCCCAAAGACTACAATTGAGGCCTGTGGCATGTCATTGTAACCTAAATTTTTTTGGACCCATCGCTATACATTATTAGTCTGGGTCAGGGGCGGAATTAGAGTATAGGAAGTGGGTTCGCAAAACCCAATAGTTTTGGTTCAAATCCTGTATTTGTCTTAAGAAATCATCTTATACGCACAAATTATTAAATTTAAAACTCAGTAACTCAAAATGACTAAAGTACTGAACCCATAGGCTTCAAATTCTGGCTCCGCCTCTAGTTTGGATTATTTGTTGGGAAGAAAAAATGGTGCGTTATTTCATTGTATTGAAGGGAAAGGGTTAAAGGCTCTATCACAAACATCATTTGCCTTTATGCATCCACGTCAAATGGATACACTTGTGCAGATCCTTACGTGCACCTGATACATGCCCACATGCCCATACCAGACCTAATGGGACATAACTTTTTTCACATATTCTCACTAGATTTTATGTTCCATTAGGAAAATGATGACATGAAAACTTTTGATAGCATAGCCCTCAGGCTTTGTTCTCGTGGTAAGAGCCCAAAACGTGATATGTAATTAGGTGCACTTCATGGGCTCGAACCTTCCGTAGACAAAAGCATGGTATTTAAGTGGAGAAGGATAGAGAGGGGGGCCCAGTATCCACCGTATTTCGAACCTTGCACTACTGGCCCTCAAGGATTTCTTGGTTATGCAAGAAAAACTTTTGATAGCATAATTATATTGTCATGAACCAGATAACTGAATGGTATTAGCGATGCAACATCTTTCTTATTATAAGACTAAACCATATTCTGAAAAGATGGGACCTAGTTTCTCATTAGCAATGCCCTTACTTAACTTGAAGGCATGTAGTCTCATGTCTCAATGGATCCTGCCACTGAACCAAACTGCTATTGAAGGAGCACTATATGTTCTTTTTTTGATAAGGTAAATAGTATTATTAGCAAAATGGGAAAGGCTCCCGTATACGAGAGGTATACCAAAAAGTAGAGAATCTACAACAAAATATGATTTTCTACGAAAGACACCCAATCATCTATACAAGTAGGAATATCAAGGGTGCACCAAAAAGCAATCAAAGACAAAAGACTATTCCTCAAGTGTACAATATCATTTTCAATTCCCTCAAAAACTCTTCTATTTCTCTCTCCACACGACCCACATAAGAGCTAATGGAGCAACCTTCCATGCCTTTTGTTTTCTTCTCATATGAAGGAGCGCTAAATGTATGACCATGAACTTTTACGCAATGGAAACAACGATGAAATTAGTATAGACGACTATACCAAGTGAAAGCAAAAATTTAAGGAGAAATTATTGGCTAATGACATCAAAAAGTGTTTGCTAAAAAGTGTAACATATACTAATTGATTCTAGAAGTTATCAGAAAGACTTCCTTCTCCAATTTGAGGGACACATGGCTTTTTTTCTCTTTCCGTTGTTCACACATGGCTTTTAAGAGTTTGAATTTGGGATATGCATCAGTTAGAAATTCCTTCTGATGCATGGTCTATTACCTGTGTCCGGGTCCAGATTTCGTAGATGATTTTCAGAAATCCTACTTATATTTTCTTTTTAAGCTTGCAGTCTTCCCATATCCTTCTGTTTGAGCACTAGCATTCAACTTTATATTGATGGATTTCTTTATCTCATTGCAAGTTTCTTCTTGATGTTCAGGGAGTACAGCTGTGATAAAAAACGCTGATACTAAATTTGATTGGATGTATAGGAGCACATCATTTTGGTAGATGTACTCATAAACAAGAGAAAGATTACTTCCTTCATATTAGTGTGTGGCTCAATTGCTATGCTGATACAAAATTATCTTCCTGGTTGCATAGAAGCTTCTTGTGCGACCTCTTTCTCATCTGAGATCACAAAGCAAGACTCATGTAACTGGGTTTCTGGCGCCGAATCGTTGAAAATGAGTCCTGAAAATGATGAACGTCCTCTTGATGGCTATAGAAAATTTAATTCAAAGGATGGTGATCCTTGTTCCTTAAACAGTGTAGATGGTTCACGACCTTCAACTTTCAGTGCAATGTCTGGAAGTTCTAAGCCCATTGTATATCGTAGGAAAAAGTTCCGAAGAAACCCTCTCACTACTTTCTCCATTGAAACATCAGCTGAAGTTAGGCCTAGCAATGGATGTCCTTCTGAGCTTTGTTCTGAGGTCCATCTAGGAACTTTTAAGGAAGACTTAGTTGCTGGAGTTGCAGTTGAAAAAGTAGCTACTGCAGCTCCTATTCTGCTTCCTGCTGAGTGTAATAGAGGGAACCTTCTTTCTAAATCAAATTCTTGTGATGGTAGACCTGAAGTAGAAGAGCAGTGCTCTGAAGCAGCTTCAAGAAGTGATATACATAGGACTTCAGATTTTTGCGTAAATGATAGCCATTCGTCGTTGGACTTTGATTCTTCTTCATTGAAGACTGATGTGGGTGATGCCAGTGAATGCTCCTCATCTGGTGCTTTAGTTCCTGAAGGATTGGATGATAATATGCCAGAAAAGGATATATGCGTAGCAATTCTTAGAGGTTATGGGTTGCTTGAGAAAGTTCCGTTTACTGAGCTCCGCATGTCCGCTAAAACCTCTGGTACCAGTACTGACAACTGCTCTTTAATCTCATGCAAAGCCTGTGATTGTTCAGATACTACATTGAAGATGCTAATCTGTGATAATTGTGCTGATGCATATCATTTATCTTGCTGCAATCCCCGTATACGGAAAATACCTCGGGATGAGTGGTTTTGCCAATATTGTTTGATTAAGAAGCGAAAATTACTGGAGAAATCAACTTGTAAATCCCTAAGTGGGCCTGTCGAAACTGAAAGTTCTAGCAACTTATTGTCTGAAGGTGAATCAGGACCTATATCTCTCATGTTGAAGGACACCAGCATATATAGAACCTGCGTCCGTATTGGCAATAATTTTCAAGCTGAGGTTCCTGACTGGACAGGCCCAGTGATAGAGTATGTTCTATATATCTATTTTTTCATTTTTTGGATCTTCCTGTTTACTTAGGGAAGTGAAAATGATGATATAGCTTTAAATGGTTTTATCACATAGGCTGATAAACCTCAATGATTGCTCATCCTGTGCCTACCTTTTGTAACCGTTTGCACTTGTCATTTTCAGTTATGTTTTATGGAGTTAATAATATTATTGATATGGTGGGGATCCCAACATACAAGGTGTTACAATGTAGAGAATTTACACAAAAAACATGATTCTCTACTAAAAGAACTCACTCGCCAATTCTAACTGGGAAATTGTATAACACACACAGAAAAAAAAAGAAATCATTAATCTGTGTGAGGGAATTTGCTAATCCTTCAAAAGCCTTCTGTTTCTCTCTTTCCATGTTGCCACGTGACCGCTGAAATAGCTATTTCTCATGTTCTTCTCTCTCCTCTTTGATGGTTCTGCATCACAATTTGATAACAGACAGTTTCCCACCATACGCCATCGCCTATATGCAGTGGTGCAATTCCACAATCAGGCAGTAAGTAGTTAACATACTCTTCCGCTTGTTTCACCTTAAGCACCAACTGGCATCAATCAGACCTTCTTCTCAAATTCTCTACTGTAAAGATGGCTACCGAAGCTGCTCTCCATGTGAAAAAGCAAACTTCCTTCGGTGCTGTCTGGATTCATCATTTAATGTTGTTTTCATCTTTGCTACTTCATTAATGTTGGACGACTCCTGGTGTGCTCATTGGACCTACCTAATGAAACTTTCTGTGCGAAGAAAGTGGAGATACATTTTTTAAAAAGAGGAACTTTAGAATGTCTAGAAAATGGTAAAGCATATGGTGGCATGTTTTGTATCTACAACTCAAAATGCTAGTTGCTCTTTTTTTCTCTTATCTCATTATCTATGATTCTATACCTGCTAGTGCTAGCACATCTTTCCTTTTTCTGAAACTTAAGTAAGATTGCTTGAATGCTTGGTTGGATATTAATCCTCTGGTTTTCAGTTCAAAATGGATAAGCATTAGTGGTGGTAACTATGGCATATGCATGTTTAGGTTTCTCTTTATACTGAGGAAGCCTTATAATGCTCACAGGTTTCATGCTCCGTATGTCCTGATAATTTTGCACTCTAATATCTGAAAATCTCGCATATTGTGGAATGCTGTTAATGTTGACTGTTTTTATAATTGGTTCCTCTATTTTGTACTGTTCCTATATTTTGAGCATGGCTGCTGCTTTATTTTTGATAATGAGATCTGATGCAGTGAGGTTGATCGGTTTGAACCATTAGAAATCAGACCTTCCAAGTATCTCAGCTTGCATGTAAGTTCTACTCCTGAAATCTATTTTTTTCATACAATTGGCTACTCAGTTCTAGGATAATTACTTACAGAAATTGTATTATTCAGGAATGCTCTTCTAACAAGCCGTCATGGTTTAGTTCTATTGGCAATTGGCTTCAGTGCCGGCAGGTCATTGAAGGTATTGGGGAATATGCGGATGGAAGTATCTGTGGGAAGTGGCGTAGGTAATCAGCTGACTCATTGCACTTTTTACTAGTGAATATTTCTTTGCTCCAGCTTTAGGTTTTTCAAGTGGATGTTGTTAATTTTGGATTGTTTCATTGAAATTGTTTTAGCTCTCGAAAATGGACACCAATTACGTGTTTCGAGCAGATTAATTTGCATTTGTTCCCTTTATTTTTTCTTTCTATTAACGGGAAGGAGCAGTAGTGAGGAAAATGGACTAGTGAAGATGGAATTTGGTGCCTCAAACAATTCAGATATCTAGGCTCGTTGTTCCACGATAATTGAATGATAGATGAAGATGTTACACATAGATTAAAAATTGGATGGTTGAAATAGAAAGTGTCACCGGGGTATCATTGTTGGGAAGCGTGTCAGGCTAATAGAAGGGAAAAATAATTAGAAGAGAATAACAATAAATTACAAAAGACAAGACAATACAAGATTTATTTTGTTCGGCAATTTTTGCCTACTCCACGGCCACACAAAAATAGCTTTATTGATACTGAGAGAGAAAGAAGAATGTGAGGGATGATTTACAAATGAAGAGAAAAGGCCCTTTTATAGGCAGAGGGTCGGCTGAAAAAAGTTTTAGCAAATGTGAAAACGTGGCATTACGGCACCGTAATTTGTGAGCCGATTCTTTCTTTCACGTTTTTGCAACCCACCAATTTTGACTTTTTCTTTCTTCTCTCGTTACTTTCTTTTCATTATTACTTTTTCTCTTTGTCTTTTTCCACTTATTGTATTCTTTCTTTTCTTTCTTTTACAATGAATAATATTTGTTCCCATCAATCATGTGATAGGAGGATGTCTACCGAAGTAGAAGGTTAGTTCTATAGAACAATTATAAGACCGTCAATGTTATATGGGAGTGAATGTTGGGCTGCTGAAGTCCAACACATCTACAAGAAGAGTGATTCAGTAATGTGTATGCTAAGACAAATGTGAGGTCACACAAGATTAGACTAGATAAAAAATCACTACATTCGCCAGAAGGTGCGTGTAACGTGGATCTCCATATGCTCCGGTTTGTAGGTGTTATCATGATGAGTTAAGGTGTTAAAAAAGGAATGAGATAGACCTAAAATCATATGGAAGGAAGTTTGCTTGAAAGACCTACGATCTCTTGGAATCGATGCAGAATTCGCGAAAGATAGGACACAATGGAACAAAATATTTATATAGGCAATGTCAATTTGTAGGAATATGTTTTTAGTCATGTTAATACGTTTACTTTAAGTCCTATGCTTTCCAGGAGTCTTTTAGCCCTATTAGAGATTCTTGTGTCAGTATAAAATATAGAGATGTTATATAGGACATCTAGTTTTTGTTTTGTATAATGTTAGCTTGAGATAAATTTAAATGAGGAACATGGTCATTGAGGATTCACATAGCAGACCCCAACTTATGTGTGACTGAGGCGTAGTTATTGTTGCCAAATACTGAAGTTTCTTCCATATTAAAATAGTACTAGAAATTGGTTCTTGCTCATCTAAGCTCCCTTGTTGATGGAGTAGTTTCCCATGCACCTTGTTGGGCTCGTCTGACCACAGCAAGATTAGTCTTACATGTATCCTTTCTTAGTCACACCTCTATTCAAATGGAAGAAAGTTCCAACGCATATTCATTCATCAACGAAGCTATCCTATTCCTTCAGAGCCCTTTTCCTTCTGTTCGTCTATAGTCAAAAGCTCAATTCTGGAAATGCTATCTCTTTGACTCTGCATTTGTTGTATATCCTCCATTAGGTCAGGTTGTTCTTGTTGCTATAGGAGGTAGTGGCATTTTCTCTTCAAGAGACACATGATACTTTAACCAAAATTTACTCCACTCTCTACCAAACCCATTCTATTGGATTCTCACATTCCAGTTTGCAGCTCCCTCCCAATTTGATAGCAAAAGGGAATTATTAGAACTCCAAGCACTAACCACCAAAACCCCTATCCTACTTTACTTATCCACAAAAGCCTATTTCATTTTTCGAGTTGCTTGAGCAAGTTAACCACCCACTTCAATTCTTCATTCATCAAGAAAAATTTCCCATAAGTCATGACGCCTCCGATCAACAAAAATCATCCCATGCAACTTGATAACCCTTTTGAATCTCAAAGTTTTCCTCTCGACCCGCATTGTAAGACACATGAGATTAAGCTGTATCAGTAGCTTGATAAGAAAAGTGCTGAGATCAGTGATAAGTGAAAGTGGTTGTAGAAAGAGAAGTTCCCATATGAAAGCACCCAATAGTGTGACGTAGTGGTCAATGAAGTGGGTGCAAACCTTAAAGACCAGGGTTCAAAACTCAATTGAGACAAAAACACTAGGTAATTTCTTCCCCTCTGCGTAAGCTTGGTCGGCAAAGTTGCTTGGTACCTGTGTTGATGGGAGATAGCAGGTACATGGTATAATAGTCTAGGTGCGTGCAAGCTGGTCTAGTCGGTACCATATTAATAAAAAAATAGGGAAGTTGCCATATCAAGGCATCCTGGATAGCTCCTATCTCTTTAATTTCCATTCACACTTCACTGGGATCATGTTATTTGCCTATTCTTTTGTTGGAAATATTCATGATATTTTGTTTTTGTGTTAATTTTCATCCATTAGGATGCCTAATCTGCAACTTGGTGTTATCATGTCAGGGCCCCACTATTTGAAGTTCAAACAGATGACTGGGAGTGCTTCCGTACTGTCCTTTGGGATCCACCTCATGCAGATTGTGCTGTACCTCAAGTATGTGAGTTTGTCAGTCCAAATATTGTGTTCTACATCCTGTCTTCAAGTAAACTCGTTTACTTGCTTAATTTCTTCTAGATTGCAGTTCCACTCTCCTTTCTTGCTTTTGTTAGAGATGGTTCTTTTTCATTTTATTTTCTTAGTTGGAGAACTATTTTCTTGTTAGGATTAAGACGTTTGATTCCAAAGTCGTCTAGTTGTTTCACAGGTTTTGTAGGTGCTTATAGCTTCAGTGTTCTTCGCCCACTATGATCTGCGGGGAGATACTTGTGTTTTACTGTAATAGCAAGTGTAAACAATTTTGGGCTAGTATATTTGCAATGTTTGATCATCTTGCAAAACTTCTTCCTTCCCTAAAAATGGAGGTTTATGCTGAATCAGACAATACCTAACTAATTATGGCTTGGACTCTTATATCTTCGGAATGACAAACCCATTGATAATCTAAATGATTTTCCCAGAAGTAGAGTATGTGTATTGAAAATCCTACAAGTGCCAGAACATTGATATAGTTACTTGCTGCTCTCTTTTACTGCTCTTTGGTTTGTTTTTTTGCCATATTCCCATTTCACTGAGATCCATCCTTATTAATATTCCTTAAATTGCTTTTTAATTGCTGTTCATTGTCTCACTCTCAGGAACTAGAAACGGAGGAAGTTCTAAAGCAATTGAAGTATATAGAGACGGTATATATTGAAACCTTGTTATCGCATTCTTTTCCTGTTTCGGCAAAGAAATCAACACACTTATATACTTTCTTTTGAAAGAGGTGTAGGTAATAAATAATGATGCCAAGATCAGATCCAATCAGCCACAATTATATTTACTACAAGAAAATTTTGTTGTGCCACATTCTTCTAAAACCAAAAGATTTTCAACTGCAGTTATATTTCTCAAATATTTTCGTTACATTAGCTGTTTAGTATATGTGCTAATGCAAATTCATGGAACTTTTCTATTGTGTGTACTCGATGTGGTTTCTGCAAGCTATCGTTTTCTGAATTCTGCTGTCTCTGCCTCTTGTATACTGAGGTTTTCCATTTGTAATTAAAATTGTTTTTTAGTTGAAGAAATTTTTTCTAAGTTTTTCTTTTTGGTGATTGTATTATATGCTATCCATCTTTTCCTTTTTATTTTCTAGTGGAGTAAGGTCTCATGGTCCAACGACTGCCTCCCTGTGGACAACTGTAACACAGCAGGATTCTGCCCCCTTTTCGCTTTTAAACAGCTCAAATATTGAGAAACTAGGATTTACATTTTCCAGAATATGGTTTCCTGAGACAAGGAAAAATGAGCTGGATTTTGGTAATGAGTTGTTTTATGCTTATCAACTGTTAATTGCATGCCCAAAGATAGGAGATCTGCGCACCCTCATTAAGAAAGTTTTGTATCTACAAAGTTGTTTCAATTATATTTATTTACTAAGTTTATTCCTTTGTGAACGGAATATCTGAATTATCAGAAAAAGGGGGAGTCAAATTTTAAAGTAGTCATAGTGGATCCTTGTTCTACAAATGATCTGTGCCATTTTTTCCCTGATAAATTTTGTTCAGTGTGCATTGCAATACTCTTTAGACCGACTTATCAAGATATATAATATTGAACCTAGTGTTGTTCTGCTGTTTAGTTGAAACCCCGGCTGGCGGTTAAGAGGCGCAAATTGGTTCAAACCTCAGGTGCTAGCTCACGGTGCTTCACAGAGAATTGAGAAGATATAGGCTTCATGTACGGAAATGTTCATCTTGTACATTAGTATACAAATTTTGGACATTTGAATTTGTACTACATGAGATTCTCAACACAGCACACTGATGTAATTGCTTCAGACACATTTGTGCAATTTAGAAGGTGCATTGAATCAATCAGCTGCAACTCGATTTGAGTTTTCCTGGCCACACTTCGTCTCTTAGTCCATTTATATGTTCTCTTTATGGGGCATTTACTTTTTGCATTGTGAGGGCTGACAAATTAACATTTCAGGTGTGATGAAGTCACAATTTAACTCTATATGTTCTCTTCATCATTATGTCACATACCTGTAATCCCCTGATGAAATTCGTGAGGCCCTGATTTGTGATTGCAGAGTAGAGAGCAGGTGTGGGGAAAGGCAAAGTGAGAGCAAGATAAGGGGAAGGGGAATTTTTACTTGTGATATCTTCGTGTTGGTGCTTTTTAGTTTCTATTTTTCCGTCTGCTATAGTTAGTTTTATGAACAGGAACCTACTCTAGGGTATTTTGTTGAATAGCAGAATTTATTTGCAGCTTCCAGCGGAGCAACCTTTCTTCTCTGTCGAGTTTGTGGCAGCTGTCCCCCGAACATTTGGTATCTCTGAGTCACTCTTCCAGGTTAGGAACTTATGGTTGTGCATTGCAGCGCGAAAAAAACATGAGGTCTCCAGAAATTGTAAGAGGGGCTTCTTTCAGAACTCATGAGTATTGCTTGTGGTTCATTAGTATTTGATACAGTATATCCAATTTTAACCTGTGGAAGAAATGATCTGTGTATTATTAGAGCCAGAAAAACACAAAGGTAGAAAGAGGGATGAACATAGATGCATTCACGTCCAGTATTTCATTTGTAATTTGTAACGATTAGTAGTAAATATATACAAACCTGTATCATCGTTAGTGAGTAGCTGCGTAGTTTCCCTTCATCTGCAATAACGTTAAGACGCATATTCTTTCAACATGATCCATTTTGTGCGAAGTACTTGTACGTTTCTTCTAGAATTTTTGCGTAAATTTATACTATCTTGACAAGGGTTGTGATAAACAAAAAGGTTTCGATAATTTATGTTTTCGAGACTTATACTGACCAAGTACTTAATTTTTGCACCTATGATTTTCTCACTTTTTTCTTTTTTACTTCTCTTTTGTCTCAATGCTTAATATTCAGGTATATTTTCTAGAATAAAATGCATTGTTAGAAGAAAATCACAAAAAAGCATAACAAGAATGGTGCTGAGAGCCTGAGACTGGAAGATCAGAGCTGGTATTGAGCATTCTTCGCTCACTTGGGGGGCAAATGAAAGGGAATCTCTCTTTATATATAATCGAGGGACATTGGCCCGGTGACGTGGCACTCTCCTAATCCAGGATTACAATTTATCTTTTTTCTCCATTTTCCCCTATTTCTCCCAATCATTCTGTTTTTAATTGTAATTATGTAGGAACCCAGAAGTCATGTCTCATGAAAAAGAATTCCAAAAGTCATTACTATTAATAACCAACCGTTCCTTCAGAAACTAACGGCCATATTTTAAAAGACATGTGGCAATTATATAATGCCCCATAGAATTAGAGCAATTGGTGTCACTCTTCACCAATATGTGGCAAAAGCCATATGTGGAAGATATAAGTATGATCTCATGACACAAGATACAATATATTCTGGATATTTGTAGTGTGATTGACCCTAATGAGATTTGGCTAAGCTTATGGACATGCTTTTCTTATCGGAGTATCTAAAAATAAAGATTAGGACGAGATATCAAGAGAGAAAAATCTATGATTTTTGGACATATGGATATATTGAAGGATCTTATCCAAATTAGGAGTATGGCTCTTTATCTTAGGTAATTTCCTGTTTTTATTGAATGGAGGAGAATAATAGAGTAATTCGATGTACTATATTATGTCTGCTTTTTCCTCTACAATTAATTGATCTCATTATTCGCTTTGACAATGTTGAACAAAAAGTTATGAAGGATAGGAATTTCTTTGTTTAGCTATCAGGTTTGTCTTTTTTTTATATGGATAGAACTTTTCTGATTCATTGCAATTAAAAATACTCATTCCTACTCTTTTCTGTCCTCTTTCACTTTAGAAATGGTGGTAAGAAGAGGGAAAAAAATAAAAAAAAAAGGAAAAGTAACTAAAACGTGTTGGAGTGATCCATAAAATTAGAGAAGTCATCACAAAAATATCGTACGCCCTCGTTTTCTCGTAAGCACTCTTCCCCATTTTTGATTATTCGTATTTATGTGCACGAGCATGATCAAATTTACTACTTTATAATCCATTTTATACTATAAGTTAATGTGCTCATTTACTTGAAGGATAAAGAAACAAATAAGAGAGATAATATGACCACACATGATGGAAATACATAACTCTTTTGGAATTTTTATTGTTTTTGAGAATCAAATAACAAAGAAGAAAAGTATATATAGTATATTGAGTTATACTGGTCCTTTTATGAAAATTACCGTAGTTTGACCTCTTCTTTTGTATTCTCATTCGGCATACATATCATTCTCTCCGAGGGAAGTACAAAGACATCTAAATTTTGATTTTTATATATTTACTATTCTTACAAGGATGTAATGCAAGTTTACGTGAAATAAAAAGATTGATAATATTTGTCAAAAGTTTGATAAATGTTAAAAACACAAGAATTTACAATTGTATTTGGTTGAAAGGAAGGCTTATGGCGATATCTATCCATCAGAATTGATCAGTATAATTATTCGAGGTATGCGTCAACTTTGTCACTAAACGGTGATAAAATTTTGTATCTTAGACTTACTACCTAAATATATTTAATTTTTATTATAATATGATTATTAGTCAATTCTATTTTTTGAAAGCATGAACTGTTTCGACACTTTTACTTTAGCCTTTCCGATGTTGTGTTGTCGTTGCTATTTTCTTTTTGTGTTCACTTTAGAGGTTTTGTTTTGATATGACTTATGGTTTAGCTTTGAAAATTTAAATATCAAAAAGTACCTTAGCATTGAAGCTTTAAACTTGTATGCTTAGACTATCTTTCCAAGCCAAATTAAGAATACTTTTAGTTTTTGCAAAACTTAATTTAATTATTTTTAATATTCGGGTACTATAAAGTATTTCCTAAATGAAATAATATTTTGCGACCGCGACAAATTACTAGTTTCCTTAAAAGGACCGTCTTTTGAGAGGGCACTCAAATTTAACTATCCCAACCCAAGTTGGAAAGAGAAAAAAGAGATATTGCGCTTGGCTTTTTACTCAAAGGTAAGTATTTACTCGCATAAGTGTTTATACAAAATTAAATAATTTAACTTTAACAATTCAAGTGAATATACATATCACTTAATCATGGTTAAATAAAAATTGTGTAAGAAAAAATTGTACAAAAGACATGTCTTGCCTTCGTTGATTTAGTGTAACCAACACAAGCCATCTGCAGTACAGTTAGGTCAATTCACTTATCTGTGTAAGAGATTAACTGAGCCCGTGTATCGGTCTTCTCATTCGCCACCCGAAGCTGAACTTCCACCGAAGACAGCTTGGCCTGGGCGGTCTCCTTCTCCGAGGCCAGCAGGTCCATCTTGTTTTTCCACGCGTCGGCCATTATTTAATTTAATTGTACTACCCATCAAAATCCTAAAGTGACGCATTTGTGCATGAAGCGAGTTCATTGAAGGACAAAATAAGAATTACTTGAAAACTTAGAACAAATATTACATAAACCAAAACGTTGTGGAATATAACGCAGCGAGAAAATTTGTACATATCAATCATAGTATCCAGTTTCTTCAATTCAAGACTCAAAAAGCAGTTTAAGAGATTTGGACATACAACTGTTAAGAAGAAATGTGCCATCACACAAGATATCATTTCTCCACTGAAATAGAAGCAAACTATATAATACATCCCAATTCATCAACTTAGTGGCATTCTCTTGAACATAAAGTACATACAATAATAAAAGAATTGTTTAGTCCTGAGCAACAAGGATTCAGCAGGAAAAAAAAACTGAAAATCTAAACTGAGGAAAAGAATACAGCATGAAGGTATTAGCAAGACCTTCACATTCTAAGCTCCTTCAGCTTAATGAGCCATGTCGAAGCTGATTGAGGTTATAGTGAAGTACTCATTGAGCCATGTGACAAAAAATGGAAAGAATTCAGGCCTATAACAGTCCAGACGTTACGATCAAATGTCTTTTGTTTTCGATCTCACCTTCCATTTTGATTGACGAATTGCGAAAAATCATCTAATCCAGATGCCATGGCATCTGTTGCAGATTCAGCCTCTTCTTGTTTGGTTTTTGAATCAACATGAGTCTCGTCTTCTGAATTTTCAGTTCCTCTCTCCTCAACAGTCTCCAGAGCACGAATATCAGAAGCAGAGTCTTCCCCTGCATTTGTCCGCAGCCAAGCCTCATGAAGTTGTAAGACATATTCCAGGTGCCATAGGACTTCTCCCATTGTTGGTCTGCTCTTCCCCTCGTCCGCTAGACATTTCTCAGCAATTTCTCCAAATTTCATCAATGACTCTGGGGAATAATTTCCTGCGAGTTGTGGGTCAACGATGGTTTCAAGCTTTCTTTGTCGTTGAAACCGCATCGCCCATTCTGCAAGATTGATCTGATCTCTTGGTAAGCTTGGATTTATAACAGGGCGCGCACAGACGACTTCAAACAGCACAACACCAAAGGAATAAACATCAGATTTCTCAGTCAACTGCTGCCGCCTGAAATACTCAGGATCCAGATAACCAAAACTTCCTTTCACTGCTGTACTGACATGAGTATGCTCCAAAGACGGGCCAGTTTTAGACAGTCCAAAATCTGCCATCTTCGCTACAAGATTCTCATCTAACAATATGTTAGTTGTCTTGACATCCCTATGGATGATTCCACGCTCCGACCCTGTATGAAGGTAATGCAGACCACGAGCTGAACCAATGCACACCTCTAGTCTTTGCTTCCAACTTAGAGATGGTAGATCGCTGCCAAAGAGATGACTCCTGAGTGTTCCGTTGGCCATGTACTCGTAGACCAAAATCATTTCATTCTGTTCATCACAGAAACCTATCATGGAGACCAAATGCCTATGCCTTAGCTTAGAAAGCATTTCGATTTCTGTTTCAAATTCTTTCAGACCTTGCTGAGATTGAGGATTGGCTC